CCCTGCACTCCGACCTTCCTGGGGCCAGTGAATGATCATCGTTGGCTTTTTTTTTTTCGTATTTTTTTTTAATGAATCACCGTAAGATACAGTTACAGATTTACAAACTTTCATCACTGGCTTTTAACCAGATGTCTATCTCAAATATTGCCAAATGAGTGAGCATAAACATACAATAAAATTCAGATTTTTTTAAGGATGTGTATTACTTTCAGATATTTTCGTATCTGTTTGCTGGTATGTGATAGGTATTCTTGCAATGTAGTCCCATAATTGGAGAAACTAGCAGAGAGTCGGTAAATGTCGGCTAGAAATATGGTTTCACTTCAGTGAAATGTAAAGTAGAAATGTCGCAGCTTGATGAACAAGGTACAAATATTTGTAGAATAGGAGTAAGCATAGAATTTCACAGTCCTGTGTTTTGAGATTGTGATTATTCAAGCAAGTTAGAATGTATTGCACCGGGCAATATTCAACTGTGTTTTTGTTGACAAACGTTGACTGTGAGAACAGTGACTTTTTTTTTTAACTATGAATCTTAAAAGTGACGTTTGTGTGAGTACCTTAGCCCAGTGACATCTTTCCAGGTCTCAGCAGTGCTCATGGAAGAGGGCTCAGGCGTTCTGAATCTCCTCCTTGCTCCTATCTGCATTAGCTCTCCAGCTTGGTTTGCTCATTTTTCAGCTGGGAGATTAAATTTGCCCATCTGGTTCATTAAAGAATTGACCATAGCCCTCATAGAAATGTGAAAGTTCATGAGAGGCAGCTGGGGCGTGTGTGTGTGGGGGGGGGGGGGGGGTGAGGGGGTTTTACACCAACTGGCTTAAATGGGACCTAGTTCAGACACTGAGATCATGTGAAATTTGAGTTGAGACCAGCAGTATGCAACAGAGGACAGACAAATGACAAATGAGACTGTAGCACAGCACTTAGAGGCAAGCACTCAATTCACAGCCAGCAGTCTTTCCCTCTTGCCCAGAGAGGAAGGGTTTTTCAGCTTTGCTGGCCTCGTGACCATGCTCACGGCCACCCAGTTCTTCTGTCACATTATAGCCTGGGAGCAGTCGCGGACAGTCCAACCATGACTGTCCATGACAGTCCATGACAGGACAACCATGACTGCATCCAGCACGTCCGGCTGGGTTTCGGCTTTCCCCCAACCATGACCCCTCTGTGTCCTGCTGTATCATGTCCACCATTTACTTGACTTTTTTACCTGAGGTTCCTATGGAATATCCTGAGGGCCCACAAGGGGCCCCAGTTGAAAACCCCCATCTTACAGCATTACTGTCATACACAGAAACTAATGTGCTTTATCATTGTTCACATGTCATGAAGTATTGTCCTCTCTTTTTCATTCCCCCCACCCCATCCTTTCCAAATGGTCCATTGTTTTTGTGTTTTTTTTTCTTTTTGGGTCACACCTGGCGATGCTCAGGGGTTACTCCTGGTTCATGTACTCAGGAACTACTCCTGGCCATGCTCAGGGGACCATATGGGATGCTGGGGATCGAACCCGGGTCGGGCCGCATGCAAGGCAAATGCCCTACCTGCTGTGCTATCACTCCAGCCCCCCAAATGGTCCATTGGATTTGGCCAAAGAGCCTTATCTTTGCTGGCTCCAGCCTTAGCCCTGAACGTCATATATGGTCTGAGGAGGAATAAGTGAACGTCATCTATGGTCTGAGGAGGAATAAGTCACTAGAATAGAGCAGAGGCCCAAGGACTGGCTCTTTGAAGCATGTTAAGCATTTGTCAGATCCAGAGAAGGAGCAGTGAGCTTTGCAAGTATTACTGAAGCTCGGAAGGTGGTTCTTAGCAGGTGCAGTCTGTCTTGGCATCCTGGTTTGATGTTCGTATTTGTTGACTTGATGATGATGTGGAAGCATCCACATTCAATGGAAGTCACATTACAGTGCTCTTTTGATTTTGGCATATGCAAACCATCATGGCTCCTGTCAGCATTTGTCAGGGTGGATGGGGAAAAGGCAGGAGACTCCCAAGTAGTGCTCAGAAGGTCCAGGACATTAGCCACCGGCAGTTCTTGACCAACTTGACCATGGGTTCAACACAGAGCTCCAAGGATGCAATGCTGCTTGGCAGTGCAGTGCCAAGGATACCCTGGCCACAGTGCTAGGGGCTTCTTGGACAATGCCCTGCAGTCCACGGGGGTTCATGTGATGCTAAGACTCAAACCCATATTGAGCGTATATGAGGCGTGTCCCTAAGATCTGCACATAGTTTGAAAGATAATTAGAAGGATCGGGAGAGAGAAAGAGGTGGGGTCGGGGGGAGGGCGCAGAAAAATAAAAGAAAGATCTGGTGTGACAGTGCGATGACGCAGGTGGAAGGATACCTAGAGGAGGAAGGTCCGTTGAATGTTGCGGTCTCGTGGACTGTGTTCTGCCCACAGGCTGACCAGACTCATGTGGTCTTTACAGCATGTGGCCACTTAATATGCCACAGTGTGGAGTGACACAGAAAGTGATTCCAGGTGCCTATGAGACTTTTACTGAGGTTAACTTTTTCAAAACAAAAGAGCATCGACTCAGTCCTTACTGAAGTGCTCGTCTCTTTACTACTGTGCCTCCCTGCCCTCGCCCCCCACACACTCCCTTAATCTACTCCACACTTTCTTTTATCCAATTTGTCCACCACCTTCTCATCTACCAGGTGATTGGGGTTGATCATCAAGTACAATGAACTCCACTCAGGCAGGCTTCTCCCCAGTGGCTCTTGGTATCAGCTCACTCACTGCCTTTTAAGTGAATGAATTAACACTTAGTAGCCGTTGTTGTGTGTATGGAAAAGATTTGTTTTCTAAGGGGAACTCTGCTACCTAATTTGAAGCAGCTATATACTTTAATTTACAGTCTTCGTCATTCTCATTTGCCATCTGTCCTTCTAATTACTTTAAAAATTTATATCGGGGGCTGGAGCGATAGCACAGCGGATAGGGCGTTTGCCTTGCACGCGGCCAACCCAGGTTCGATTCCGGGCGTCCCATGTGGTCCCCTGAGCACCGCCAGGAGTAATTCCTGAGTGCATGAGCCAGGAGTGGTCCCTGTGCATTGCCAGGTGTGACCCAAAAATCAAAAAAATAATAATAATAAAATAAAAATTTATATCGGGGCTGGAGCAATAGCACAACGGGTAGGACATTTGCCTTGCACACGGCCGACCTGGGTTCGATTCCCAGCATTCCATATGGTCCCCTGAGCACTACTAGGGGTAATTCCTGAGTGCAAAGCCAGGAGTAACCCTTGTATATTGTCGGGTGTGACCCAAAAAGAAAAAAAAATAATAAACAAAAATTTATATCTAGGATGAAAGAACACAAATTGGAAATCTGTGATATGATGTCTGGTATTTGATAATATGTGCACTTGGGGCTGAGGTGGGGGAGGGGCGCACACCCAGGAATGCTCAGGGCTTATAGACTTGACCATACACTCAGGGGTCACTCCTGGTGGGCCCAGGGGACTGTGAGTTTTGTTATTGTTGTCATTTGTTGGCTTTGTTTTTGTTTTTCCAAAAAAAAAAAAAGAAGGGCCTTTGGGGAGATTTGGGGAGGAGTCATCCCAATATGATTATCCCCGGAGGGTAACCCCCCCCCATACGTATTTTTTTCTTTGACTAAGAGCTTTAGTTATAGTCTAAATGTTTTGAATTAGTGGATTATGACATTTTTCCACTCATTTACAAGTGTGGCCCAAAGCTATGAAATAAAAGGTTGTCTAGTTGGTTTAAATAACTAGCCATGAAGGTGGGGGGGGGGGAGAGGGGGGGGTTGGTGAGGAGAGAGGTGGGAGAGACGTGTAAGATATTCTTTTCTTTTGTCTCTTAGGATTTTTCCACCTGTATTCTTTCCTGTTTTGTTCTTTTATCCGGAAATATGATCTTCTAGTCTGCTTTATCTCTAATGCTTCTATTTGTGTTTCCCAGTTCTCTTTGACTAAATGAAAATGGGTGATTGGTGATTAGGAAGACCAGAATTCAATGCCCTATAGTCACTGGAAAGCAAGCCGAGTAAGATTTGTGTGAAATTACTGGGGTGGTAGACAAGTTAAAGGTTTTTAGATGCTAATTAAAGTGCATACTTACGCAATTGTTTCTCTAATTTAGTTTGTGGAGTAGGGAAGTTGTGCATGCGTGTGCGTGTGCGTGTGTGTGTGTGTGTGTGTGTGTGTGTGTGTGAGAGAGAGAGAGAGAGAGAGAGAGAGAGAGAGTTGTGGCAGTTTAGCTGCACTGTGCTTGATGTGATTTGCTGTGTTACAGTCCTGATTATCCATCGCGGGAGGAGGGGGGAGGATTAAAAACCTGGGTAAGAGACTGGGTGTACTAATTCTCAGGCAAATACAGCTGAGTCATCATTCACAGCTCCCATGGAGATTCCTATTGTAGTTTTACTGGGTTTAAAGGTTCCTTTGGTGTGGGAGGCAGAGTGCAGGGGCGTGGTCTGGGAAACAATAGTCTGGGCTCCCCCGACCCCCCCCATATGCTCGAATTAACTGGGCAGTCAAAGACTTAATGTGGACTTGCCAGGAGTCGCCTCAGCCCCACTAAAACCGTCTGGAAGTTCCGAGGGGCCGTGTGAAAATTGAAAACACCTTGGCTTCACCTTGGCTGCCAATGAAGGAAACTCTGCACTGTGTTTGCCAACTCCAGAAAGGAGAAACTTCTGGTGTGTTGGAGAGAAAAGCGAATGAGTGAGCACAGAGGCAGAACGCTCCTTGCGGCTCTCCTGCGACTCCAGACGGTGATTGGCTTTCCCTTTCTTGTCGTCCTGGGAGACTCGGAGCCTTCCAGATTAGGTTTCACTGGGTGCTTTCCGGCTTCCAGGACTGCTCAGGGTTTGTGACTGTGACTACCTCCACCCATCCACCAGCTCCCCCCCACCCCCACCCCCCTCAGATGTCTAATGAGGATTGGAGATTGGAGGAAGAAAGTTAGAATCTGGAAGAAGCTGCAGCCGGTGAACCGTCGAAGTCCCTAAGCTCTGTGTGGGCAACTTGGAAATGGTGGTTTTCATTAATGCCAAGATCAAGTCTTTCTTTAAACTTTTTCAGAAGAAACGTAAGTGGACCCTTTGCTCCTTGTCTGTGTCTGTGTGTGTGGCGGGCACGCGCCTGGCGTGAGGCTTGTCTTGTTCAGAGAGACGGAATGGGAGCGAGCGAGCGCACAGAACCTTAGAGCCCCCGCTGAGTTTTTCCCAGGTTGTCTGCATACCTCAGACTTCTCTAACTCCAGGGCAGACTTATGTGATCTTAAGCTTGTCTTCTTTATTGATGGTTGGGCTTTTAGCTGAACTCATTTCTTTTGTGCTTCTCCAATAAAGGAAAGAAAAATGTCTTTTGAAGAAAAGGGATTAAAAGAAAAAAAACAAACTCTTGTCTTGATGTTGTTTCTCCCTAACGACCCCCCCCCCCACCTCCTACCCTCAGAAAGTATATATATATATATGTTAGTGTTTTGCTAATTATGTAGGAAGCTTCTGTGTAGTCTGCCCTTCGTTTTTGGTGGGATGTTCCTTCACAACTCTTTGGGCTTCTCTGTTGTGTATTTAAGAGCTCAAAGACACACTGTCTACACAGCTCAGAGGTTGTTGTTGGAAAGCGGGCACCTTTTGTGGAGTGACTTCTTTGTGTACTTGGCCTGGTTTTTGACTTCTTTAACCCAGGCGTGCTCCGTCCTTCCTTGGAAAGTATAATTTCGTCCCTGTACATAGTTTTCTTTGTACATAGTTACCAGCTTAGTTTTGATCCAGTGTCTGGGTAGGAGCATCACTGCTAAGAGACGCTTTGGGGAGAGCAACAAAGCCAGCACTTGGGGCTCATTTTCTGCTGCTCTCTTGCTTTGAGGCTGTCTCTGGACGAGTTGACGAAAATCTGTCCTGGCAAGAGTGAGCTACGCCAGGGAAGAGACAACTGTTCTTGCGTGGCAGCCAGTTGGGAGCCGAACAGAAGGGCTGATGGTGTGATCACACACTCGAACACCCCTCTCGGGATCTGATTCCTGGTGGGCTGATCGCGGAGCGTTTCTGTTTTCAATACCGTTCCATTCTGAAGGGTGGCGGTTCAGTCTTAGCAATTGCACGGCCGTCCGCACGAAAGCACTGTAATTGGCTGCGGATTCTCTTTGCAGGATCTCTAGTAATTTCCACTCTGTGAGAGTCTCAGAAAAGTAAACAGTAGATAACTTGGCTTTTTGTATCAACATTGATAATTATAGGTGCCCAGAAAAGCGTGTTCAACAGGAGTGATGAGCATTTCACCTATTTGAATTGTAGCAGCCTTATGGATAAGCTTTCTTTGGCAACATTAAAAGCAGAAAATCTAACTGGCCTTTTTCCGTTTGTGTGTTGTGTTTGTGGTTGAGCAATGCAGTGAGGATGCAGTGCCCTTTAAGAAGTGGTGTTAGGAAGGACAAACAGAATGACTGCACTCATTTGAGGAATATAAAGTAGCATGATATGAGACTAACACCTAAGGACAGTAAGGGCCAGGAGGATCACACCATGGTTTGGAAGCCAGCCCCACGTGCTGGGGGAAAGGCAGCGGGACAGAGAAGGGGCCACTAAGTAAATGATGGAGGGATCGCTTGGGATGAAGGATGTGTGCTGAAAGTAGACCAAGGACCAAATATGATTACCTCTTTCTGTCTAGATTGCAAATCATAATGCCCCAAATTAAGAGAGAGAGTAAGAAGGATGTACTTACCACAGAGGGAGGGTGTGGGGTAGGGTGGGGATGGAGGATGGGAAACTGGGGACAATGGTGGTATAAAATGTGCACTGGTGGAGAGATGGGTGCTCAAGCATTGTTTGACTGAAACGCAATCATGCAAGTTTGTAACTGCATCTCATGGTGATCCAATACAACTTAAAAAAAAATAGTGGTGTTAGGAGGTGGGTCTCTGTAGTCACTGCAGAAGACTTCATATGATTCGTTCATTTGAGTTTCTAAATGCTGAGATGTTTCCCCTGGTGTTGATAGTCTGTTGACTTCCGCTCTATTGGCTATGCTGCTTAAATGTAAAGGTAAAAAGGTAAAGGCCCTCCCGTTGATCGTCGATTTGCTCGAGCGGGCCCAGTAACGTCTCCATTGGAGACTTTGTTGTTACTGTGTCTGGCATATCGAATACTCTCGGTAGCTTGCCGGGCTCTCCGAGAGGGGCAGAGGAATCGAACTCGGGTCGGCCATGTTGGCCGCTTGTAAGGCGAACGCCCTACCCGCTGTGCTATCGCTCCAGCTGCTTAAATGTATCACATTGAATATTATATTTAATTTTTTTAGTTGCATCTAGAGTCAGAGATATGGCTCTGGTGAGTCTAGTCAAGGCTCTGGACTCCTTTTGTAGAATTTTGTTTGAAGGCTATTTTCAGTGGTACTCGGGTCTTAAGGACCACTCCTGGTGACCACATGCAGGGGTGGGCTGCAAACGGGACTACCCGTTGTACTTTCTCTTGTGGGAACACACCTTCTATCCCCCGTTCCTCCCCTCCCAAACTTCCTAGTGCCTTGTTTATCCTCCTCAATGTGTGTATGGATTTGGTTTGGTTTAGTTTTGGTTTTGGGGTCCCACCCAGCAGTGCTCTTAATCCCGGCTCTGTGCTCAGGGATCACTTCTGGTGGGATTCGAGGGACCCTATGGAACTCGCATCGGCAGCGTACAGGGCAAACAAGCAACATACCCGCGGTCCTATTGCTCAGGCCCTGTGTGTATTTGTTTCTCTCTTATCAAACCAGTGTTTCCTGCTGCGATGGTGCTGTGTGGCTCAGTGAGGGAATCGCGATTTGCTTTGCTGATGGGAAGCGGGCAGGGCAGATCTCTCGGTGTTTCTCCAGCATTTTCAAACGGTAGAGCAAGGGGAAGCCTGTGAAATGCCAGGAAGCTGAGCAGACAGTTCAACCGAGACACTGCAGGGTGGGAGGGAGGTGGACAGCTCCAGTTTTCCCCATGGAGACAAAGCACAAGAGCCCCCTGGAAGCTGAGAGGATGTGGGGGCATTTGGCATTTGCGCCATCGTCCCTGGCTGTGTTGGGCTCCATCCGTGGAGGACCACTAGAGCCAACTGCGCTTGCCTGACACCTGACTTTCTCTTTCTCTCTCTGCAGCGGTTTCCAACCTAGATGAGGAGAGCAGATGGACTGTCCACTACACAGCTCCGTGGCACCAGCAGGAGAATGTGTTCCTGCCCAGCACCAGACCCCCCTGCGTGGAGGACCTGCACCGGCAAGCCAAGCTCAACCTCAAATCCGTGTTGAGAGGTGAGACTACCAGCCCACATGTTTAGGAGCGGGTGGGGGTTAGCGTGGAAAGCCTGGATGTGATTGTAACTTTAAATTGTGTCCGTTTGCTTTGGGGCCACACACATCGATGTGCTCGGGGATTACTTTCTTGGCTCTGCACTCAGGAATCGTTTTTAGTTGGGCTCAGGGGGACCATATGGGATGCTGGGGATCGAATTCAGGTTGCTGTCAAGTGCAAGGCAAGCGCCCTACCCACTGCGCTGTCACTCTGGCCCCTTGATTGTAACTTTTTTAAAAATTGTTTTTTAGACACTGTGGTTCACAATACTGATAATGGTAGCGATTTTTTTTTAATCAAAGCCTGTTCACGATGAACATAGAGTACGCTGTATCTTTATAAGATATAATCACTCACAACCACCCACTTGCCTATGGCCTTTGCAGATGCACTTGCCCATGCCTGCTTGCAGATATGCTAATCTAGCCTCCACAGAGCCCAGCCCAGCTTAGAACCCCTTTAGCATGTTTAAACTGCCAGTACGAATTTAATGCAAATAAACGCCTCTGACCTAGGATATTTGGCCACTGCCTTTTAAAAAGCACTCCAGTGAGGCAAAGCAGATTAGTTAGAACAGTCTTTTCCAAATGAGGACTGTTTGTTCTGTTTAGTTCAAGTCAGGTGGAAAGGGGCTCAGTGGCCCAGACTATGGAAGGAGTACTAAGTGGTTTGATTTATCCATCCTTGGGCGGTGCCCAGCCTCTGAAGCTTAAGTCCTGTCAACAGAAGGCAGAGTTCTCTCCAGTTGGTAGGAATTTGCGGTGAGGGTGTACTCCTAAATCCAGTTTAAAATTCTCACTTTCATCTCAGCTTCATATGGATCTTAAGCAAAGGTCAAGTGTGATGAAGAGGGCTTCTTAAGCATGATAGAGGAGCAAGGGAGTTTCATATATATACATATATATGTATGTGTGTGTATATATATATACATACACATATGTATATATGTGTATATATTCATATGTATGTATGTGTATATATACTTTTTAAAATACTTAATAGGGAATGGTTGAGCCACACCCATTAGTGCACCAGGACTATTCCTGGCTCTGTGCTCAGGAGTAACCCCTGGCAGTAATTGGGTCACACCTGGGTCTGTACATGTAGGACAAGCCTTAACCTCTGCCCTGTCCACACACCAGGATTCTGGCCTTGCCCAACACACACACACACACACACACACACACACACACACACACACATACATACACACCCTCTCTTCTTTAAAGAGAAAGATTTGGCATTCGAGGATCAAAGACTTTTCCTGAAAAATAACAAATCAGCATCCTGCCTGGTCAGATGTTGCTTCCTCCAACTCATCTCTTACCAGGCAATATTTGGGGAATAATTATGTGAAGAAGTACTTGTTTGCTGGAAAATTTATTGGACAGGATATCCTCTAGTTCATCTAAATAGGAGAGTCTTACATCCTAGAGAATTCTTTTTTTTTTTTTTTTTTTTTTTTGGCATTTTAGGTCACACCCAGCGATGCTCAGGGGTTACTCCTGGCTTTGCACTCAGGAATCACTCCTAGCGGTGCTGGGGTACCATATGGGATGCTGGAGATTGAACCCAGGCCGGCCGCATGCAAAGCAAATGCCCTACCCTCTGTACAATTGCTCTGGCTCCCACATCGTAGGGAAATTTTTGTCATTGATTGAAAAGGAAAACCCTGATTGTAGATCCCTTTTGCTTTTACTATAGTCTTGACTTCTCTGTCAGCTATTTATTAGTTCATTTGTGAGTGTCCTGTCAGCCTTAGTACTGTGATTACTAGCTGACACTAACCCCCTGTCTGTATGCCAAAAATTGCTAAACCTACTACATGCATTATCTAATTTAATCCATACCATAATGTTACTCTTCAGGGTTATAACGGATGTGAATTTTACACATAACTAGTACTTTCCCTAATGTTACAAAGTGAATAGTAGAGTCAGGCTCTAAAACTTGGACATTCTGAGATGGCAGAGCTGACGTTCTTTAATGCTGCACTCCATTGCCTTAACAGATACTTGCTGAGAGTCTGTAACTCTGGCAGAAATGCAGCAAAGGCAAGAGATTGGCTTGCAAGGACTTATATGTCATATCTACAGTGCAAATTATCAGACAGAAAATACTCAGAAAATGTGCCCCAGTTGCTGTATGGATTATTTTAAAAAGGACATCATTTCTGCTAAGAGAAAGAAAGAGGAAGAACTTGAGTTTGGTATTCAGAACAAAATAAACCAAATGTGTTGGGTCATAGTCTGTGGTTCCCTCTTCGCCCCTCCACCCCCCCATACCCCTTTGATCTTTTGTAATAACTTAGATCAGCTAATCTGTATCTTGCAGTATTTTCTATCTTTATATAGTCTTGGCATTGGCTTGTCCACAGTTGAGGATATTTGAGGGCTTCTTTTTTCTCTTGAGCCTGAGTAACCTGTATCTTTGAAAACAGGAACATAATCGAGAAGAATGACATCAGTTGGGCACTTTTGCTAGAGTTGACTTTGGTCTTTGTTGCCTTTGTGGTAAGATGACTAGAGGATCTAATCTCCACTCCCATCACTGCCAAGCACTTTTCTCTTTAGACTATTTTTTTTGGGTGGTGGGATCTGGACCACAGCCGGTGGTGTTTCTGGTTTACTCCTGGCAATCTTCAGGGGATATGGGGATTCAAACCAGAGTGCTTGTCTGCAAGGCAAGCACTTTAACTGCCGTAGACTTCCCCAGGGCCTCTTTTTAGCCAGGTTTTACAGAGCTTTTCTACTTAGAGCTCACCTTCTTCCACCAAATATTCAAAAGAACATTAAATGGCACGATTCCCAGGACAACCCCCTGAGGCAGTGCCAAACTAATGTTTCTCGGGGTGCCCAGACAACAGAATGCTGCATGGCATGGCTTGTAGAGAATCTTTCAGAAGGTATGTGTGAGTTTGAATATTTAGTCATTCCCCCTCTCCCCCCCGCCCCCCCGCCCCACACACCGTTCTCTTTTTGATCGCTTTCCAGGAAATTGTGCTTCGTATAACCCCTTTCAAGTTTTTTCCAGTACCACATCAGAGCTGCTCCTTTCTTCCCTTACATAGTTGAAGAGCTGTACATTAAGTTTTCTCATTTAGATTTCTTTTTAACTATTGCATGGATCCATATGAGATATCATCGCTGGTTTTGCCCGCACTTGAATTTCATTTTGAAAAGATAAATGCTTTAGTCATTGCTTTAATGTCCTCAAATGGTTTGTCAGAGGAATTTGCTATTAGCTATTCGTAAGTGTAATAACTTCGGAAAATTCTTCAAGCCCATCGTTGAAGTCTGAATTTAGATGCCCCATATGAGGTCTTGGATACCTAATAATGTTAAGGTTCCTGTTTAAGAAAGATGAAATGAGAAAAACACATCTGAAGTGCTTGTTCGTCAACTATTTCTTTATGTCGGATGTACAGAACATCTCGTTCCAGCATCTCCCAGTGTTAGTAACCCCGAGATAAACACAGAAGGAATGTTTAGAGTGCAGAGTCTTTATTGCCCTGTTGTTGGTGAAGGTTAAAAGGGAAAAAATCCAGTCCCTGAATCTATGACATCACGAAGGTGATGATGATGCTGTGCAAAGTCTAAGTTAATTTGACCTCAGTGGTTTTTGCTTAAAATATCAGAAGGGGAGCCAGAGAGATAGTACAATGGGTGAAGCTCTGGCCTTGCACATGGTCAAACCGGGTTCACTCCTCACCACCACATATGGTCTCCTGAGCACTGCCAGAAGTGAGAACTAAGCCCTGAACACAGCCAGGTGTTTTATTTATGTAGTATATACATATATGAGAGAGACAGACAGACAAAGGTAGCTAATTATTCACAATGAATTTTGTTTCTTCTTCCTTTCTCACTGTGATCCTGTTTTAAGACAAGAACAATGTTCTTTAATGTTAAACAAGTTGGTGCTTTTTCATAACCATTTGTTGCTCATTGTAAGAGCTGTTTTATGAGAATGCAGATTTCCTTTTGAAGCTTTTAAGCTCTGGAGGGAAATGATACCTCGTGTGCTAATAAATTAATAGCTCTGCTTTTGCCTATGATATTATGCAGAAATGCTTGGTGGTCCCTAGAGCATTTGCGAAGACACAGTAAGTTTGAAGTAGTATATAGAGACGAATAATAGACATAGCTTAGAAAGAATTTGAGCATCAGTTCAGTGCTAATCTAAAAGTTTTCCCAAGATTAGATGAACCTTCCAGGGTCCCAATCTTGATCTAGAGCTAAACTTGCTGTTGGGGTCCAGGTGGAAGTAAACTCAGTGCTCTGGAAGTTTGTAGAGGTTCAGGGGGGTACATAGGGCAAAAGGTCAATCAGCTGGAAATGAAATGAATTGGGAGCCCTTATGGCCCAGGCTCCTTTGTTGCCCACTGGAGAGGAGAGGGGGGAAAAAACACAGAGTAAAACAGGAGCAGGCCAAGGTCTCTGCTATTGTGTTTCACTCTGTCCTGGTCCAAGGCAAGCAGTAAGCTTCTGTATCTGTCCTTGGGTCATCTCTGGAGAATTGCAGAAAATTTGGTGGCCACGCTTTTATTCACTGCTCTTAGTTTTGTAGGTTAATTTTGTTATTTGAGATTTACAGCTAAGGAAGATGGAAACGTGAACATAGATTTTAAAATGTTTGAGGGCCAGAGAGAGAGAGAGAGGGTACAGTAGACGAAGCACTGACATGTGATCAACTGGGGTTCAATCCCTCGCACCCCATATGGTTCTCTGAGACCATCAGGAGTGATTTGGAAGCACAAATCCAGGAGTAAATATTTAACACAGCCAAATGTGGCCAACATACAGAAAAGCATACCAAATTGTGTTCAGGGAAAGCAAAGAAATATTGTAGGTAATAAACACTTGCCTGGCACACAACTAACCGGGGTTTGATCCCCAGCATCACATAAGGTCTTCCTGTGCAACTTCAGGCGTGATCCCTGCACATAAAGCCAGGAGCA